AACGAAACTTTACCATAGGAAAATATTGGCATACAAATATAATCACTTCTATAAAAAGGTAACACATTTTAAATATAGTTAGACATATTAAAGGTAATTTACAGCATTAATAATTCATATCTAATTTATAACTGTGAATGCTTTTCATTTAACATTAGAAATGTATTAGTCTGGCCAATCCAAGACTTCAATGCTGAAGGGCCAATGGATCTATGGTGGGGATCAGCACAAAGGTCAAGACAACCCACATTTGAAAGGGAGACAACGGATGGCCAAGAAACTAGCGACTTGCTCAATTCCTTTGTGAGGGATCTGTGAAGAACATGACAACAGCTGCACTACTGGTATTTAGTATACCAGCAATTGAGGGTGGACAAGTTTCCTACCACTTAAGTTTCAAATAATTGTGTTAATTACTTATTGTAAAGCCTTTGAACATTCTTTTGTGTCACATGTAGAGATGCAACAATAGCACTTTGAGTCGATTGACAGAACAACAATGGATGATTTTAAATGATTTCTTGTTCAGAAATGGCAGAAAATACTGATTTCAGTACAATTTCTCAAGTACTACATTGAGTACCATGTTGAAGTACTGAGGTCTGTTCTTTACTTACTTGAGTATTTCCATTTTATGCAAAGTGATTTTCATGCGTAAACGTGAGAAAATGCTGTTTTCTGCCTTAAAAAATGTAGATATTTGAGTTTAAAGTGAATATCTTTGGGGTTTTGACTGACTAAACACGACATATAAAGAAATACCTGCTGGGTCATACGTATTGAACACTTGAACAATGTAAATTATGAAAACAAATACCATGATGTAGTAGTAGGTGGTGGTGGTAGTAGTGGTGGTGGTAGTGGTGGTGGTGGTAGTAGTGGTGGTAGTGGTGGTGGTAGTAGTAGTGTAGTAGTGGTGGTAGTAGTGGTAGTGGTGGTGGTAGTAGTAGTGGTGGTGGTAGTAGTAGTGGTGGTGGTAGTGGTGGTAGTGGTGGTGGTGGTGGTGGTGGTGGTGGTGGTGGTGGGGTGGGTGGTGGTGGTGGTGGTGGTGGTGGTGGTGGTGGTGGTGGTGGTGGTGGTGGTCGTCTTGGTCGTGTGTGTGTTGTCGTGGCGTGTGGTCGTCTCCGTCGTGGTGTGGTCGTGGTCGTCGATCGTCGTCATTGGTGGTGGTGGTCGTGGTGGTGGTCGTGGTACTTGTCCGTCGTGGTGTGGTCGTGGTCTTGGTTGTTTTGTGGTCGTCGTGGGTGGTTCGTCTGGGTGGTGGTGGTGTTCGTGGTGGTGGTCGTCTTCGTCTATGGTGTAGGTGGGGTCGTGGTGGTCATTCTCGTGGTGGATCGGTGGTGGTCGTCGTCGTCGTCGTGGTGGTGGTTGTTGGGTTTCTTGGTGGTCCTTGTTGTATCGTCCGTGGATGGTCGTGTTGGTGGTAGGCGTCTCGTCGTGTGGTGGTGTGGTCGTCGTCTTCCGTCGGCCTCAATTACTTGACTGGTCATTTAGTTGATTGGCAGGAAACTGTTTTGCACGTCTGGTTAGTTTTCTTAATTCTTCTACTCCATTCCATGTCATGTTATACTGTTTATTCCACTAGATTTGACTCTCAGCTATACAAAAAATACTTTATTAAATGAGCCCTATTATGCTTTTTGGGGTTTTCCCTTTCCTGTAGTGTATTCTATAGGTTTTAGTGCAATGGTCTGCAGAGGCTAAAATACCTGCTTTTATATGAAGAATAACTGCGTTTACAGTTTATTTTTGCAGTACATTTCCCTGAAGCTGAATGCTTTATTTTCGTTGTTGTAATGGTGTGTTTACTCAAGTAGAAAATCTGTGTTTTCCTGATAATATTATAGGTGTAAAAGAGGTCCGTGTGCACTTTGAAGCAATGATGGTTGAGATGATGCAGCCTTGTTACAGCAACAACACAATTTTCCCATTTTCTGTTCCCATAATCATACATTCCCATTTTATATATTTGGGTGTTGTGTTCTGGGAAACCTGTATTCGTAATAAACACATTTCATACAGAAAGGTTTCAGGAGTTATTGTGGAGCACCGTGATGGGGTAGGAGGAGTTAGGGATGGGAACGATCAATCGAATATTCGAAATTATTCAGGTATTCAAATATGAGATTATGAGTTATGAATATTTGTATTGTAATCTTTTTTCTTTTGGGAGGGGTGCCTAAGTTGATTACATATGATCAAATGGAATAATTCAATGTATACGACAGTGCCATAGCTAAGTGTGTTAGGTCTAAAGGTGTGTTTTGCTCCGCTCACCGGTCCCTCACAGCGGGCAGAGCTGCAGGTGCTGATCTCTCTCTCGCGTCCGGTTATACTTCACTCGCGTTTATGTCCAAATCCATCAGACCTAGCTAGTTCTAGCTAATGGTATGGCTGCTGCCCCTCCCTACACGCAGATCACGCAGACTCAAACCTCATCTTATGCCCACATTCCAGCTGAGAGGGTCTTCTCTACAGCTGGCCTGATTGTGAATCGCCTCCGCACCCGCCTCTCCCCTGAGTAGACATGCTCATATTCTTAAATGAAGAATGAGTATTGAATAGCTTCATTCTGTGCATAGGCCCTGTTATAGGTTGTTGATCTCTGTTGTCACGGGTTACATTACCCTAACCCGTTATGTTGTTTGTGTTTGATCCCTCTTTCATTTAAAAACCAAGTTATGTTTTAAGCATGAAAGCTGCAGGCCTATAGCTGTCAACTGTTCAAACTGTGATCACCAGTTCAATACATTTGACAAATTCGACTTGGTTTCTATACTTATTTGAACATGGATTTATTTTTCAAAATATATATTTTTTTTTTCTACAAATCTAAATATATGTTTATAAACAATCAGGCTTTCTGACGTTTGCTCCATTTTAAAATACAAGATAAAAAAGAGTAAAAGTATGAAAAACATCTGAAGTTCAAGTTAAAACGTGCAAAACTTTTGCTTGAAATGTAGCACACAGGTTTTTTCTAGAAAGATATAGGCCCAATCCCAAACCGCCCCCTACACCCTACCCCCACACACTACCCCTCCGTTTGTACGTTCGCGCGGAGGGTCCGCCATATTTAGGGCTGTTCCAAACCAACGAGAGTGGAGCGGTGTGGAGGGGGAGTGGGCTATCAAGCCCTCAAACAGCGAGTCTGCATCGGTGCTGACTTGAGACCGGTCTCTACCTGACCGGAGTCACGCTGTGTGTGTCTGTCAGGAAACAAGCTGTTAACAAGTAGTTCCAGCAAACATCTACTGATAAACTGCGATGTTAACAACCTCATGATGACCTCATATGTTTTAACTTAGGATCAAACCTGTGTTTAGTCTAGAAAAAGGTAAATGTGTGCATTTTATTATAAAGTTGTGTATATTTACAGATTGTTGCAAAAACAAGAAGCTTATAAACATCAGGTTTAAAACTGGGGGTTTCTCCATTAACTGGGGGTTTCTCCATTAACTGGGGGGTTTCTCCCATTAACTGGGGGTTTCTCCATTAACTGGGGGTTTCTCCCATTAAACTGGGGGGTTTCTCCATTAACTGGGGGTTTCTCCCATTAACTGGGGGGTTTCTCCATTAACTGGGGGTTTCTCCCATTAACTGGGGGGTTTCTCCCATTAACTGGGGGGTTTCTCCATTAACTGGGGGTTTCTCCATTAACTGGGGGTTTCTCCATTAACTGGGGGGTTTCTCCCATTAACTGGGGGTTTCTCCATTAACTGGGGGGTTTCTCCCATTAACTGGGGGGTTTCTCCCATTAACTGGGGGTTTCTCCCCGTTAACTGGGGGTTTTGGGGGGGTTTCTCCCATTAACTGGGGGGTTTCTCCATTAACTGGGGGTGTTTTTCCATTAACTGGGGGGTTTCTCCATTAACTGGGGTTTCCTCCCATTAACTGGGGGGTTCCTCCCATTGACTGGGGGGTTCCTCCCATTAACAAATCCACTGAAACAAATGTAGAATGTGTGATATTGGGCTTTATAAATACACTCTGATTGCTTTCCTTGGTATCACAGGTTGTTGTTGGATTGTTGCACACGGTGTCATCACGGTTGTGTTGCTCATCCAATCATTGTGAACTGTCTGAATCTACTAGGGGTCACGTCCATCGTCTTCATTCACTGCATAATTTCTCTAAGGGGATAAAGTTTCGGTTTATGTGGGCTGGAGCCAAATCCTTCCTTAAGAGGAAACAAATCCACTTAAGAAGTTCATTAGTCTGGATTTCAGTGGAGCGTTTACAGTGTGAGGAGATGCCAAAACATTCCTTGGTTTGATTTGAACAACAACAATTTGAAATAAACATTTAACGATTTTTGCATCATCAATCAATCTGGCTTGCTTGAATAATGCCATCTAAATAAAAAATGTCCACCCTAGTTCCTCAAAGTCCAAGGTCATGTCACTTTATTATGATATATAACTCCATGCTTTAATGTTCAAAAAGCCCTTTATTTTTCTCCTACTGCCTGATTGGTCAACCGCTTAGAGATGTCCCGCCCCTTAGCCTATCACTTACAGTCATAGAGTTGCATAGAAATGCTTTATAACCTCTTTTCACCCTCTGTTCCATCACGTACAATGTGTTGGAGCAATAACCAATAGGAGCGTGAGTGTTACATAGTGATGTCACTATTTTTCTGAAGTAAACAAAGGGTTAGGGTTAGGGAGCACTGGGATTTTAGCCTTTGCAGACCATTTACATGCACTAAAACCTATAGAACACACTACAGGAAAGAGAAAAAGGCAAAAAAGGGCCTCTTTAAGTGCATTTAAAATCATTTCTGGTTACAAATACTACAGTCAACCTGTATTTGTTCCTTAATACACAATTGGAGTACAGTAAGTAAAAGTATTCTGATTGTGAATAGACTTTCCTCTCACATCAGTTTCTGTAATGTCAGCATCACCAACACTGCGTACAAAACCCTCGACACTATTCCTTCTTCTTCTTCCAGTGAGTGTTTTTATCCCATTAACCCCCCCCCCCTCTCTCTGCAGCTGATGGGCCTCTGTGTTCTCTGTGTGGGGGTTTACGCTGAAGTGGAGCGGCAGAAGAACCGGACCCTGGAGGGCCTGTTTCTGGCCCCCGCCGTGGTGCTCATCCTGCTGGGCCTGGTGATGTTCACTGTGTCCGTGGTGGGCATGGTGGGCTCCCTGAGGGACAACAAGACCCTGCTGCACATGGTGAGGAGGAGCTCTTTGTTGTTGTTGTTGATGTTGTGTACAGAAAGATATCTTTTACCCCTGAGCGTTCCCAAGAAGATTTATTGTCGGTGCTGCTGTCGGATTTCTGTTTCCCCCTCAAAGCAACACGAGACACACTGTGGAGGTTTCCAGAAATCTGTGCAGCAAAGACATTGATAACATAGTTTCTGTCGCTTGATTTTCATAATAATAACAATAAATAACGTTATTTGTTGGAGGCAGGTCAAAGTGCTTTAACAGTTTGGCACAAGACAAACAGAAAATAAGATAACATTTAATTCCAGTCCAAGGTTAAAAGATATATAAGCAGCATGTGCAAGGCAAGTGCTTTGCTAAATAGATTAAAGGCATTTAATGGGCCCTATTATTCAAATGTTCAAGTGTTTCATGTCTCTACTGTGACATGTCTCCATGTTTTAATGTTCAAAAAGCTCGACACATAGGGATTTTAGCCTTTACAGACCATTTACATGCACCAAAACCCGTATAGAGTGGCGAAGCCCCTCCCCTTCCGGTGGACCTCCATGGGACCTTATTTCGGTAAAATTATGTATTGAAGTCAATGGCGAGAGAAAGATTATCTTTCGATCCCGTTTGAATTGTGCCACGAATTACACATATGATGTTTGTCAATTTAAAAGATAATTTCGCAAGTAAAAAAAATAAAAATGTCGTAAAAAAATGTTTTGTGTGAAACCGCTCAATGAACTACATCTCACGTCTCGCACCACACACCCAGACGGCCGTCACGTTGAAACATTTCACTTCTTTCTTTCAGAATGAGGCGGAAAGTATTAAAAGAGGTGAAAATCACTCCAAGCCTGGGCGCGTTGAGAGCTGTGCATACACACAAGGGGAGTTAGTCGGTTCCGTGAGAGCCAGCATGCGGGACCGCGACTCTGGGATTTGTAGTCTTTCTAGTTGCCTATTTTTCATAGTCTTATATTTCAACAGTTTTACGACAAACTGGGACTTTTTTGACACGGAAATGATCTTTTAAATTGACAAACATCATATGTGTAATTCATGGCACAATTCAAACGGGATCGAAAGATAATCTTTCTCTCTCCATTGACTTCAATACATAATTTCCATGGGGCGGAAGTAGATGGGCGGGATTTCGCCTCTCCATAACAAACTACTGGAAAGGGAAACCCCCAAAAGCAGAATAGGGCCTTTTTAAGATATAGTGCAACAGAATGACATCATGACCTTTTTAAGTACATATGAAAACAATTTAATTAAAAAAAGCCAAGATAATACAGATGTATCCAAGCTAAGAGTATGACTTATAAAATACAACTATACAATGTTTTAGTAAGACCTGTGAAGACACCATTACAGTAGTCGAGTCTACTGAAGATAAAAGCATGGACACGTTTTTCCAAATCCTGCTGTGACATTAGTCTTTTAATCCTAGATATATTCTTTAGGTGATAGTAGGCTGACTAATTGTTTTAATATGACTGTTTAAACTCAGCTCAGAGTCCATGACTAATCCTAGATTTGTGGCATCATCTGTTGTTTTAAACATTGCAGACCGAAGCTCAGCGCTGACTTTTATTCGTTCCTCCTAAGCTCCAAAACAATTACCTCAGTTTATCTTTATTTAATTGGAGGAAGTTCTGACACATCACGTAATTGAATTGCTCATGTACTTACTCAGCGCTTTAATTGGACCATAGCCCCGTGGTGAGATTATAATGTAAATGTGTGTGTCGTCTGCATAGCTATGGTAACTAATTTCCCATATCTGAGGAAGTGGAAGCATGTCGATGTTAAAGTAAAGAAGCCCCAGGATGGAGCCCTGAGGTATTTTTTTCCTGTTTTTACCCTGAATTTTGTATAAAAGTGCGATTTTTTCCCTGCCTCGACAGTTTCTCTGTGTCCTCTGTGTGTTGCTGCTCCTCCAGGCCATCGGGCTCACCCTGGCTCTCATCTTTGAAAACAAGGTAAATATTATTCATGTCACTTTTCCTCTAAATCCTCAGATAATATCCTAAATGATAGCATCAACACTTGTTCCTCTCTTCAGACGTCGGCCCTGTTTCAGAGCAGTATACGAGAAGGAATCAAACACTACTACGATGATCTGGACTTCAAGAACATCCTGGACTACATGCAGGAAAAGGTGGTTTGATATTTAATATATAAACACATAAAGACAGACACTTGAGGACAATAATGATGCTCTTATTTGATAATTTGTTTGCTACGCAGCTGTAGGGTTGTACCATCTCTTCCTAGAGTGCAACATACAATATATAGGAGACATAAAAAGACATACAATAGTGCAAGGGACACCACGGTTTGATTTTGATTAGATTTATTTCCATCGTGTAAAAAAATTAATGAAATGAAACAAGAGAATTATGATACTGTACAAACCTAAGCAGTATCAAATTAATAAACACAAATATTATTGACTTATAAATTATATATAAACAAATGATCTTCCTAATTACACATCCGAAAGGTTGCATGTAAAAATGCAGGAATATGTCGACCAAGTACCTGTAAATAATCGAGCAGTGTGTATTTGGAAACGTCACACTGTTTAAGATATAAATCTAATCCGAACAGTACATCAGTGCATTGAGTTTCTTTCAACATGACCTTCAGAACTAAATGTCTGTAACGGGTGTTTAACCTTTAGCCGTGAGCTGAAGATGTAATCTCCCCTCACTCCTACATCCTCACAGGAGATCATGCTGTTTGATTTCACCGCAAACGTCAGTAAAACAGGCGATAAATCCTGTTCCTGCCCTTTTTATTCGTCCTCCCACTGCTTGTCTTAAGTAGAGATGTCTTTCAAAATAAATGTCAGACTTTACGGTGGAAAGTAACTTAAGTACATTCACTGTATTTAAGTACAATTTAGAGGTACTTGTACTTAGACATTTCCATTTCCTGTTACTCTACTATGCTTCTATTCCACCATCAATTAGAGACAGATATTGGACATTTTACTACCCTTCATTTATTTGACTAATTTAGTAACTTGGAATATTTAGATTTAGTTTTATAATCTAATTTATAATTTTTAAATTCCACTGGATGAGGCAACGCAGCTTTATTTCTGTCACATAAATGCCATATAAA